TCGTTAACCCCAGCCAGGAAGAGGGTTAATTATGGCCCCATATGGGCCATAAAGAGGGGCAGGACTGTGACCCCCCCCCAAAGCAGGGACACCCCACCCCTGCCCCCTTCCTACTTGGCCCTGCCCTCGGGATGAATAAACCCCCCAGTACTTTTATATAAAAAACAGTCACTATTTATTTCTCCAAAGAAGTTCCATGGTAACAGAGACCTGACATACTCATCACATCAAGCTGCCGGAGAGGGGGGGCTTGCCTCCTGCACCCCAGGCCCCCTTATTAGGGACCCCAAAGGCCTCGGGGTGGGCAGGGGACAACCAGTGCCCCACTGCAGCCCCGGAGTGACACAGGGGTGGAGTGTGGAGTGACTCTGGGCAAGGGAGCACGGGACCCCCTCCCATAGTGTCAGGACAATGGGGTGACATTTAAAACTCAACCAGACCCCAGGGAGCAGCTGGGGGGGTCAGGGGGGGTCTGGCCATCCTTGCACGAGGTATGTAAACAGGGGGTGGGGGCTGCAGCCAGCACAGCCTCGGGGGGACCCCGCACCCCTTGGGGGTTTGTGGCTCAAAGCCAAGGCTCAGTAGCACAACACGCTGAGACAGAGCAGGGGGGGACACCCCCAAAGGTGTCTCGGCTTTCCCTGAGGGGCTCTGATGTTCCTGAGGCATCAGGAGCTGTCAGGACCAGCTCTGTGGCTGGCAGCCACCCTGCGGGCCACCACAGTGGGGAGGACACGTGCCTGTCCCCCAGCCCTAGCAGGGCTTGCTGCGGCTCCGGCAGCGCGTCACGGGCAGCGGCAGCTTGTGCAGACCTGGATACAGGGAGAGTGTGAGAGCCAGGCTGGGGACAGGGACACCCCAGCTCCCCGTGTCCTCACGTCCCTGTCCTCACCAAAGGCACGGATGAGCTCGGCCTGCACGGCCCAGGAGACCCTTTTCACCAGGCACAGCGTGGTGAGCCCAGCAAAGCCCATGTTGTAGAGGAAGACGATGTAGAAATTCCCCAACCAGTTGAAGCGGCCAAAATCCCCCAGGAGGTCAAAACGGGTGATCCCTGCACAGGGGTGGGGTACACTGGTCAGGGCACCCCAATCCTGGGGACACATCCATCCAGGTGTCACCCGACCCCTCTGGGAGGCTCACCCAGCGTCCTGGAGAAGACGGGCAGCGCTGAGCTGAGCACCAGCAAGGACACACAGTTCCCGATGATCTGGGGAGGAGGAGGAGGTTTGGGGGGCAGTGCTGCTGCAGGGAACCCCCAGGCTGGGGAAGGGGCTTTCCAAATGCCAGGGAACCACTGGGGGGGTCCTGCCCTGCAGTGAGGCACCGTCCTCCCGCGTGGGGACAGCACAAGCAGTGCACAGGGACCTGCTGGGGGGAACGGGGTCTTGCACCCCTCCAGGAGCCCCCCAGCCCCGTCCTGCTGCTCCCACCTTGGTGAGGGGGGTGTCCTGCCGCTCCGGCAGCAGGCGAGTGAACAGGGGCGAGCTGTAGAAGCCCACAACAGAGGAGACCATTAGGTAGCTGCAAGGAGTGTTAAGGAGGAAAACAAGATGGAATGGCGCTGGGAACGGTGCTGGGGACACAGGGGACATCACCGGGGACATCACCGGGGACACAAGTGCCCGCCTGAAGGATACAAAATGAGGACAACCTGCAGTGCAGCTCCAAAGGAACCGAAGATGGAGAAGGAAACCTGGCCCAGGGACGCGTCCTGCAGGAGGAGAAGGGAGCAGGCTGCGGAGGAATGGCCCCAGAGCAGCGAGGGACACGGCCCTGAGCTGTGCCATCCCCCAGCCCGGGTACCTGGATGCCCCGTGGCATTGCGGCATCATCCAGCAGCAGCTCCAGGACATGGAAGCAGACAATGAGCACAGAGATGCCCTGGGAGGAGCAGGGAGGGAGTGAGGACAGTGGTGAGGATGGGGACAACCCCCAGCTCCCCTGGGAGCCCAGCACTCACCGTCAGTGCCAGGAGGCCCAGCATGGCCAGGGGGTAGCCCAGGTTCCTCTGCCAGGGCGATGCTCGGTGCCGCAGCTCTGTGGGGAGGATGTGCTGAGGTGAGAGGGGAGCACAGCTCCCACCCCAGGGCAGGAGACTGAGGGGACCCCAAGGTGCCAGGATGCCCCCACCCTCCCTCCACAGAGCATGGGCTGCCAGGGACCAGTGCTCCCAGTGCCAAGCTGGAGGAAACCCAGTGCCCCGGCCTTCCCCCCACCAGGCTCCTCACCCAGCTTCCTCCTCTTGCTCCGGATGGCAAAGAATTGCTCCCGCAGCATCTCCATGTCCAGATTCAGCCAGCAGGAAGCGTTGCCTGCCAGGGGGGAAACACAAGAGGCTCAGGAGGGATGAGAGCTCCTGTGTGGTAGGGTAGAGGGGTCCCAAATCCACCCTATGCTCCCCTTTCCCAACCAGCAGCACCCACCAGAGTGGATCCTGTGGGACACAGCGGCTTCTTCAAACCTTGTGCAGCTCAGCTGCTCATCCAGGTCTTCCAGGAGCTGGGGGTGGATGAGGAGCCTGTGAGTGGCTGCTGGGCTGCATGAAAGGCTCCCCATGCCCGAGGTGGGAGACCAGGCAGCCCTGGGGGCAGTCACCCCCAAAGCTGGGACGGAGGGACTGGGGGGGACCCCTTACCCGGGGTTTCACCAGCAGCTTCCCAGTGACAGTGAACATGGTGGAGAGGCCAAAGGGGGTGCACACTGTGATGAGAGGAGAGGCTGAACAGGAGGTGCCCTGCCATCCTACCCCTCCCCACACCCCCAGAGGGATCCTGGAGGCTTCAGCCATGAAGCACAGCCCCTCCAGACCCCATCTGTAATGGAGCACCACCAGAGCCTCATGGGAACACAACTTACACAGCAGAAGCAGGACGCCGAAAAGCGAGATGCAGGAGTAGAGGTAGGGCAGATAATATTCCCAGAGATCTGCGGAGACAGCGGGATCAGGCCAGCGGCACCAGAGATCCCCTGTTCCATTCAGTGCCAGGGTCTGATCCTGGAGCAGGGAGAGCCCAGAGGAGCCCCAGCACCCACCATAGAGTGACTGGCGACTGGCAGCATTGTTGCCCACGATGGCAGAGGCCACCCAGACCATGCCCAGCACCAGCAGTGTCAGCAGCAGCAGCACCACCGACGTCTCGTACACCCTGGCCATGATGCCCTGCAGGAGCTGGGTTAGAGGGGAGTCACAGAGTGGGGGACAGGGGGGACATGTGCAGGATCACCCACCTTCTTGGACCCTGCAAACCCTTCTGACTCGGTGAAGAAGTAGGCAAAGGGCATGAGGAAGACCAGGGACATATTGGAGAAGAGGAAGACCAAATTCCAGAGGCCTGGAAGAGGAGGAACAGCATGGGGTGAGCTCCCAGGCAGGGCAAGGCTGATCCACAGATTTTGGGGACACCCCAGGGTGATCCCGTGCACCCACCATGAATGAGGGACCCGTTCAGCCACTGGATGTAGTAGTTCTGGGGGAAGGAGAGCAGCACCTCGTTGCTGATGATGGAGAAGGGCAGGAGGAGAACGGCACCCAGTGCCACAGCCAGGGTGAAGGTACAGAGCCCCAACCTGCCAGAGGGACAAGCACCACCACAAGGTCAGGGTTCCCCTGGGTGTCACAGCCTGGCTCTGTCCCCCAGCGTCACCAGCACCCACAGGACACTGTGTCCTGGCTGAGGAAGAGGCCGAGTATCAGGGAACGGGACAAGCAGGAACTTACGCAATCCTGTTGACAGCAGCATCCTCGTCATCGTGAACTGCAGGGACAAAATCCCAAACCAAAGGGCTGGGGGAGGTAGGGCTGCCCAGAGCATCGCTCCCTGCCCCCTGCCCAAGTCCTCCCCACTCCAAATGCTGCAGAAATCCTCCCCAGGGATTTGGGCTTTGCTCCCACCTAGGGCAGCTGGTGGGTGCCTGGCAGCAATTGGTGTCACAGCAACCAGGCTGTGGCAGGACCGGGGCTCCTGGGGGAAGCCGAAAGGAATGGAGGAACAGGAAGAACCCTCTGGAGGCTGAATGTGGCTGTCAAGGGCTGCCTGGCTCTGGCAGCTCCCATTCTTACCTGCTGTGAAATCTGTGTGCTTCTTAAAGTGGGTTATGATGAAGTGGCAGAGGATGTAGAGGCTGGCGAAGAGCAGGGCACAGATCTGCAGGCAGAGGAGTGTGGGCATGCCCTGAGGGCAGCACTCCTACCCCAGGTGATGCTGCCAGCCCTGGGGCTTGTCAGCTCCACCCTATTTGTTTTTCCACTCCTAGCCCTGGTTACACCCCACTCGTGTGCTCAGACCTATCTGTTCCATGGGGGCTGCACACAGGGTTCACACATGGGTGCCCTGGCACAGCACCCAGGCCACAGGGCTGAGAGCCCACCCAGAAGGTCTGGATCAGCCTGTGCTGGTAAAGCCCATGGGACATCCCTGAAGTCCTCGATCCCACAGCCCTGGCCTTGCTGGCACCCAGCAGAGCCACGGGAACGGGCTCGAATCAGGCGCCAAGGACATCTGCGATGTCCCTCCCGCCCCCGCTGGAACGCCGAGGTCAAGCCAGAGCAGGCGATGTTCAGGGAACACGGCGACCTTTCATCCCACCGAGTACGCGTCAGGATGAGGAAAGGTCGCCTGAATCCTCCACCTTGGCACAGGTGCGGTGGGGAGCAGCTGTGGCACCTCCCTTCTGCCGGACTGGGGGTGCTCTCACCCTGGCTGAGGGTCCCCAGGATCTGCCAGCGCAGTGGGAGCCCCCAGAGCTGGTCCAGCTCGGGATTCCCAGAAGTGCAGGTCCTTCTGCTCCTGCTCCCTCCCAGTGAAGGGTTTCAGGCCACAGGTTCCCTCCTGCCAGGGCCTGTGCCCCACAGACCAATGCTCTGCCTGATGTGGGGACCCCCAACCCCTCCTGCACTCAGTGAAGTCAGGCCAAGTAAGTTTTGTGCTGCCTGTGCTAAGCCAGGGGCTCCTGGCTGAGATGCAGCTCCCTGGGTTGGAGGTCTGGGGGGCTTCAGGGCAGAGGTGCCAGGCTCTGGCCACCAGGACCTTCCTGTGGGCACCAAACGTGGCTGTGGCCAGGAGCCCCAGCACTGCTGCTCACAGCCCACTTGGCTGCCCTGCACGCAGCATCCCCAAGGCCCTTAGGTCCTGCCAGGACCAGGATATCCAGGTTATCCCCATCCCTGAGCCTGTGGGAACAGAGAGCAAACCCAGCTGGTTCTCTCTGGTACCCGAGCTTTAGGGGGCTCTGTAGGATCCCTTCTCCCTGACACCGAGCTGCTGGCCTGGGGACAAGGACAGAGCCAGGATCCCGACGTGGGGCTTGCCCGGCTCCGACACCACCACAGCCCAGCACTCCCAGCACGACGGGACCGCAGCTGGGGCTGCTGGAGCGGGCAGAGGGGTCCCGGCAGGAGCTCAGCAGGGTCCAGCCCCGAGACCCCGCTATCTGCTGGGCACACGCAGCCTCGGCGGCTCTGGGCCCGATAAACACGGGGTGTGGAGCACGGCCACAGCCGTAGAGCTGCCACCGAGGATCCCGACGGTCCCATGGAGGGCCCTCCC